TTATATACAAGTTAGATTTTATTTATTTATTTTTTTTATTATTTTTATTTTTTGTAAATGTATCCAAGTGTCAAGGACAACGCTATAACATGGAGTTTATATTCTTGCTTCAAATCGAGTCGTTTCCATTCTGCTGGTTTATCACAAAGCGCCGATACAGCCGTTCTTTAGCTACGCATTGTAGGTGTATTTGTGCCTTGTGTAAATATTTAACTACGGTAACTAACCACGACAGGATCGTGGGCGATTTAAGAATGAAATGTACACGTAGAACAGGTGAGAATTCGAGGTTAACCGTATACGCGTCGCTTCCTTCGACCGGGGAAGCGACAATAGGCTATTTCGTGTTGCGCATCATGATCCGCGTTTGTTCGCGTTCTATCTAATACCATCGCGTGACGCTTCTCTGCAGCTCGAAGCACTGAAGCTCATTTTAAGCATTAAAACGGTTTTAGCACTAAATGGAGATTAGTCAGAGACATTAGTCAGACATTGCTGTATTTATGTTCATTGGGGTTTTTAGATTCTGGTAAATATGTAATGGTTCTTGTTAAACACGCCGTTTGAATTTGGTCTGCATTGTATGAAACTGTAATTGTGGCACGCCAACATATAAATCGTCGTTTCAGACGACACTGCGTTAGAGGCTGCAGGCTTGCTTACAAGAGAAGCACAGAAGCAACGCAACTTCAATATATTACATAGCTCAGGCAAAAATCTAGCAACAGGTTGATATTTGTCATATCATATAGCCTACAGTTTTCTTCAGCCTTCTGTAGCAAACAGATAGGCTGTGTAACATTTTAATTTTATTAACATTTGATTTTACCTATACAACTCGATTAATAGCGTCCATTTAACTGTAATATTCCTAATCTAACTTCATCAACGTTGTGTATTGTAATTTAATTGTTTAAGAAACGTTGTGAATCTTAACCCTAGGTTAATCTACTTTATGTTTGTTTTATTCAGAATAAACCCCTCCCATCAGAACACTAGTGCAGGCTTGTACTTAATACTAATACATCTGATTGTGGAAGTGAACGTTTATACAGGTTCCTTTTTTAAATCCTAATAATGAGTTATAATTAAATATACCTAACAATGTTACACATGCAATTTTCTCTGTTATGCAAAGGGCCCATTTTAGATGTATTTGTGGTCTTTTTCCACACAAACCGATCATTAGGTTATCTGATTAGAATTTTGTGAGGGTGGTTTTCAGTACTAAGCTGTGCTGTGGTCTTTGCAGGAGTGCTAAATGCTGACCTGAGCTCCGGTATATGAGGAACACAACCTACAGATGGAGTCAAGGGTTCCTCACCACATTCCTGGAGTCTCCTCCATCATGGCGCAGCCTTTGCTGGACAGCCGCATTCCCTACGGACGGCTCCAGCTCCCATTAACTATTTACCCCATTGACCAAATGAAATCTTTACATTTGGAGAATGACTACATCGACACCCCTGCTGTGATCTCACAACAGCCACCAAGCCACAAGGCAAGCACGAGGGGGCAGGAAGTCCTACTGGGACCCCCGCACCATCCTCATCTGCCCCACTGCGAGGTCCCAGATGCCACCACACATCCCTGGATTTCCTTCAGTGGTCGGCCCAGCTCCGTCAGCAGCAGCAGCAGCACCTCCTCCGACCAAAAGCTGCTGGACCATGCAGCTCCCACCCCTGTTTTATTAGAGCAACCCAAGGCGCTGAGCTCCAAGACTCAGAATGTGAAGGCGGTTGCGGCACTGCCAGTGGAGAAGAAGCACGCACCGTTGTGTGAGAAATGCGGCAAATGCCGATGCACGGAGTGCACTTTGCCCCGGGCCCTGCCCTCGTGTTGGATTTGCAACCAAGAGTGCCTGTGCTCTGCGAAGAACCTAGTGGACTCTGTCACTTGCATGTGTCTAGTCAAGGGCGTCTTCTACCACTGCACTGATGAGGACGAGGAAGGCTCCTGCGCTGACAAGCCGTGCTCCTGCTCGCACTCGAACTGTTGCGCGCGCTGGTCCTTCATGGCGGCCGTTTCGTTGGTGCTGCCCTGCCTGATGTGTTATTTGCCCGCCACTGGTTGCGCCAAGCTTTCGCAGAAGTGCTACGATGGCATAAGCCGCCCAGGCTGCCGCTGCAAAAGCACCCAGCCCTGCAAGGTGGCAGAGGTCAAGGCCTGTCATCTGGAAAAACAGGCCTCATGATGACGTGCCAGAAACGGAGAGTACAAAGTGACTCGCGAGCAAAGTTCGCAAGACCTACTCCGATAGCGGTGTACTTCCCAAAATCACGGTACTTAAAGTTCACGCATGATCCTCGCGCTCAAGGCATCCTGCCGTAAATCAGTAGCAACATTTGACTGACCAAAGGGCACAAATCATTATTCTACTCGTTCGTAAAGTACTACAACAAAGGAGAGGCCTGCGTTTTCTTCTCCTGGGGTTCTCGTGATGGCCGTGGGATCAAAGTCTTTGCCATTTCACACCCTAGTAAAACAACTTGCTGACACAGAATGCTGCATTTGAGCAAAATGTCTGTTTGAAAGATTCCAATCACTTCTCTGATGTTTATTTTCTCTTTGGGTGGCTTTGAAAAGTCAAAGTAAATATCACCCATTCAAGAACACTCTATACTTTGGCAATCCCTCTCCGGATCTGGCACCGAGGAAAGGTTGCAGCGAATTCCAAGCTGATAACACATGTCACAATCAAAATAACCAGACTTCATCTCTGTGCACAGTACATTTACAAGCTTGTTATAGAGCTTTATTTCTTCTGTTGTTTGAAATGCAAACACGGGAGGTAATTTGGTTTCATTGAAGGATTCTAAGTTCCCTTGACCGTTGCGAAAGACATTGATGACCGCCCGTAGCCACGTGACAGGATGTTTTCTATCTTCTGTGGGGACAGATTGTTTGTTTGTGATGGCAAATGGGTAAAATAGCTTTCATAATTCCCTTTGAAAACATGCCATAGCATACATAAACTTCCATAATGATTCTTCCAAATGTTAGCGGTTCAATTTGTTGTAGACAATGACCTCAGGGATCATCAGTTCATCTGAATTACGTACAGCATGTGAATTCAGCTTGGAACTAGTCGGGTGACTCGAGTTAAGGGAACGGGCAGTGGTCAAAACACAGCAATTCAGACACCAAGCATTCATAAGCTACCAGGAGAATCGGGCCAGTAGTTACGGGAAAAGGAGAAGCTATAAAGTTAGCGTATACTACTCTGCCGCTTCTAAACAAAACATGCCAATTGTATCGCCATTATAATGAGGCAAAAGCACAGTATTATGTACAGTAGCATGTACAAAGTGTTTCACTGTAGTTGGAAAAATTCCTCTAGTTTACTACGCACCAAACATAACGCTCTATGGACGTGCCCTAGTATCGAACTGCTTTCTCTACATATATATTTTGTTATATGTATAGTATAGAGATTTTGCCAAAGGAGTGTGCCATGGAGATTTCGTTGACCATTTTTATAACCGTTTGTTTCCAAGTGGGCATGCATTGTTGTACTCTAGCCAATTAGTGCGAAAATAAGCTCTTAAAGGTACGGTGCTCTACTTCCCAGGATTCCTAGAGTCTGGGAGCACGAGGGAAAATTGTCGGCCTTCTCGACACAAACCCACGGTCCGCTTGTTTAGTTCCACATACTCCAAAATTTGTACTTGTTGCACAAATCTGAAAAGCAGAAATACACTACTGTTCTTAGTCTTGAATGTATAAGGCTAGGGTTTAAGTCTTTTTGCAATCTAACCCGTGGATAGGTGCCAGAGTAGTTCTGAATGGAGAAGCTTGCATACCTGCATAGGGAAGAGTTGCAAATGTACCATAGATATCTTAGACTTCGACCTATGCAGGTTACACTTTCTTGTAAATAGTTTTAAGAAAAACTAGCTATATGTTTCAAATGTCCTGAGAAATTGCATGGTACAATTTAATTACAATTCAGTACAAAAGTATATAAATTAATTATTATATTTTTGGGAGGGCTGGGGGCGGGTGGGGGTAAAGATTATGTGGCTGTGGCATAGAAGGTAGGGTGTTTAGGTATTTCGATTACAAGCACTTGATTTAGAAAAGTGTGCCAGGCAATAAAAATACCTCTGTTAATGCTAGCCATGCCTCATTAGCACGAGAGAGGCACGGCTAATTCCCGGTTCCTCGGTGCCCCTGAAACTGTAGATTTAATTGAATTCGCAGAGGGAACGGCGTTTCGTCACGCTCAAAGTAACGCCTTTTCATCCTAATGTGGCCAAGCATTTTGTTTTTCCTCCTTCCTCCTAAAATGGTGCAACATCTTCAGTGCTTGATTGACATATACAGCTGCTGTGTGTGAACTTGTCTGGGAGGAACGGGGATCCCTCTCAAGTAACATTCCATTCCATCCTATTCGGTGTTGCTTTTTCGCCCCACCTTCTCGCTTTTATTTTTTGTATTTCACAATTCTCTCAACTATGGAGAACGATACAGCTGTAAAATGTAAACTTTATGGTTGTTCGCCTAATATCCTGGCCTGCACGATGGAACTGAACGATCTTCCTTCTGTCGACCCGTTGCTGAGATGTTCTCATCAGGACGCTGTGACTAAATCTATTCATGGTACAGTTTCTTGGCCACTAGAAACCCATTCTTCTTTTTTAACCCACTTTAAACTGCCTTCCAAACTGGGCTTGTACTCTCTGCGTTACTTTGGCTTCATTGTTCATGTTGAAGATTAAAGAAAAGAGGGTTTTGCTTTTGTTTTGTTTAAAAAAGAAAAAAGAAAAAAAAAATCTCTCACACATATGAAAATGTCCCTTTATAGATATATTTATTTTGAAGTTCTATTTTATATAGTATTTATTTAGATGCCTACTTTTGTTTGTGAATAAAAGCTTATGTCAAAACGGAATGTACATTGAAATTGGAAAATATATATTGTTAAATATAAAACTCTGTGTGTTGTGTCTTCAGTGTCCCTGCATTCATACAGTACATGCTATTGGAAAATATGATTATTTAAGACACACTGAAAAAAAAAACATTACTTCGTATTTTCGACTTGTTTTCTAGTGCAAATATCTAAACGTTCTTGAATCAAGATTAAATTGCTTAAGTCTTGTTTTCTGAAAAATGTATAAATTTTGTTAGTTTTTGCTTAAAACATGAAAAAAATATCTGACAATGGGGTAAGAAAAGTAATCTTAATTCAAAGGGGAAACATGATTATTTTTCCTGACCCCACTGGCAGATAACGTTTTCTTGTTTTAAGCAAAAACTAACAAAATTTAAATATTTTCTTCAGAAAACAAGACCGAATATCTTAAGTCACTTTGCCTCTCAAGTAAATGTATCTTGATATCTGTTATGGAAAACAATACAAAAATACTAAGTAAGAAAATCATTTTATGAAGTGCATTTGTTGGTCAAATTCAAATAAAAAACAAACTTAATGTAGTCAATTAAGAAATATTATAGATGAGCTGGCTAATTTCCAAATAAATGGACATAAAATATTAGTTTAAATCTTTTTATCACTCGATGAAGTTATGAAACTTGAAGCTATGTATGGAATTGTTTTCCTGGCACTATAGATAGTTACACATTTTAGTAATTACCGCACAAAAATATGCCATTGAATTCCAAAAGTGACCAGTCAGAATTAAGTACTTCAGAGGATTGTGAAATTATCATTTAAGGGTGTAAACCATTCAGATACAGTATTTTAGTGCTTTAAATAATACCCCTATGGTTACATCATAAAACAATGCTTTCATATATATTTTTCATATAATAATACCTCCGAAACTGAAATATATGGCCATTGGATGCTAAAGGGCAGATATAATATTTTGAGTTAAAACATAAATGCAACCATGTTCTGCAGGTATATAATATCTCTCTGAGTGTCCCTAAATCATCTTTGCACATGGAGGACGAGGTGCAGTCCTGGTTTCCTGCACAGACCCCTGGCTACAGGGAGAGGCTCTTACTTTACATGAGACTGCTCTTGTGTCAAGATATTGGCTCTCAAGGATCTGGGCCTGCAGCTCACATAAAATCTTTACAAACCTGGATGACTCACACACCCATGAATCTGTTGACATCTATCCAAACACACTCACACAAGTACGTTCACCTATGAACCTACGTACATGAGCTATAAAAATCAGAATGTGACCTCAACAAAATCTCTGTTTGAAAGATTCCAATCTCTTCTTATGTTTATTTTCTTCTTGGGTGGGGAAAAGTCAAAGTAAATGTCACCCATTCAAAACCACTATATTTTGGCATTCAATCAATTCTGACTTCAATCAATTAATCAATTACCATTTTCTAAATTTAATCTGAGTGTTCCTCTTTCTTGTGCAAAAATCACTGTTATGCTGCTGGGATGCTGTAAGTCATTGCCAGGGCGTTGCTACCCTGTTGAAAAAACCAGCGTATGCTGGTTAGGTATGTTTTGACGCTGGGATGCTGGTTTAAGCTGGTCCTTTGCTGGTTTATGCTGGTCCTTTGCTGGTTTATGCTGGTGCTTTGCTGGTTTAAACTGGTCCTTTGCTGGTTTAAGCTGGTCCTTTGCTGGTTTATGCTGGTCCTTTGCTGGTTTATGCTGGT